CATTTTTTAATTGGATTATACACTTTTTTTTGTTGAGGTGCATGAGGTCTTAATATATTTTGGATGTCAACCCTTTATCAGATCTGTCATTTATGAATATATTCTCCCATACTGTAGGATGCCTTTTTGTTCTATTGGTGGTGTCCTTTGCTGTACAGAAGCTTTTCAGCTTGATATAGTCCCACTTGCTCATTTTTGCTTTTGTTTCCCTTTCCTGGGGAGATATGTTCATGATGAAGTCACTCATGTTTATGTCGAAGAGACTTTTGCCTATGTTTTCCTCCAAGAGTTTTATGGTTTCATGACTTACATTCAGGTCTTTGATTCATTTCGAATGTACTTTTGTGGATGGGGTTAGACAATGATCCAGTTTCATTCTCTTACATGTAGCTGTCCAGTTTTGCCAACACCAGCTGCTGAAGAGTCTGTCATTTTGCCATTGTATGTCCATGGCTCCTTGATCATATATTAATTGACCATATATGTTTGGGTTAATATCTGGACTGTTTATTCTGTTCCACTGGTCTGTGGGTCTATTCTTGTGCCAGTTTCTCTGAAGTTTACCTATACATGGAACCTCTGTTCACTATTTTTTAATTCATTATTCCTGTGAATTTATAATTGTTTCAAAATACAAAGCAAGAAAACAAAGTCACATAAAAAAATACACATACACATAAAAGAAATAAAACCAGATCACATCACTCCCCCACTCAGAACTCTCTAGTGCTTCCCATCACAGCAGAGTAAAATCCACAACCCTTACGTGACCTAAAAGCCCCTCACACTTCTGCATCACTGCCCCCAGTCTGCTTCATGCTAGCACACCAGCACACTGACTGTCCAACATGCCAAAGTGGTCCTCACTTAAGACCCTTTACACTTACTGCTTGCTCTATACCTGGAATGCTCTTCTTCCAGGTTTCTGCATGGCTCAACCCTTCACACCATTTGGTTTGTGCTCACATTACAGTTCTTGTGAAGGAGCCTTCTTGGACAATAATATCTAATTCAGCATTCCTCTTCCCAACCACTAGCCATTCTCTATCCTTTTATCCTGTATTGTTTTATTTAACTGATTATCTATTACTTACCCCCAACCCCGGAATATATAAAGGCAAAGAACTTTTCTGAGTTGTTCACTTTTGAATTCCCAAAGCCTAGTAGAACCAGGCATACAGTAAAAACTCAATGAATTTTTGATGAATGCAGGAGCAAAGCTTATGAGAGACTGAAGAAAAAAAAATTCTATTGATGTGACTGATCCACAAGACCATAAGCCATAAGGTGGATGTAAAACTTGCACCATAAAACAGAGAACATGATAGAAGAAAAACACATGTATAATGAATCAAAGCCACAAAGTTTCCTTCCATTCCTTTTTCCTCTCCTTTTGAAACTCTCCCTTCCTGTCATGCCCCGGCCAGTGGTCTCCCTATTCTGGGCCCTGCCTGTAAGGGGAATGGCCACTTCCATCTTCACCTCTTGGAATCCAACTGTCACGTAAAACACACCAAGTCCTCAGGGAGCAGTGCTCACAGAAGCTATGCCACATGGAGGGGCCTTGCAAGGTGCCACTTATTAGGGGTGGGGGTGGTGGGAGAGATGCCAAGGAGTACCAAGGTACCAGACATGTGAGTGAGGAGGCCACCTTGGAAGTGGATCCCCTGGCCCAGCCCCTCCAGCTGATGGCAAGAGCTTCCAAGATTAATCACCCAAACAAGCCCTTTCAGAATCCCTGATGAGCAAAACTGTGAGCAAAGCAAAAATGGCAGTTTTCAGGAAAGAGGTACTGCAGTGATTTATCATACAGCAGCAGCTAACCAGAGTTATCAGACAAGAAAGGATTTCTTAAAGCTGAGCAGAAACAAGTTATAAGGGATCAAAGCAGAAGGTCTCAGGCAGACAGAACTGCCACACAAGCAGAAGCACAGGGGAAAGATTAAGTTTCTACTGCTGAGTTCACATAGGCCACCAGAACAGAGGGGCTTGTCAGGGGGAACACAGAATGGGTGAGGTGTAGTTGCAGAGTGAGACACCAGGAAGGACAAACACAGGAACCATGTGACAATTCACCTGTCTCTCCTATCACTGGCTATATTCAACAGAGATAGGATATTCACTTCTGAGTTTTACCACCTAGGAGAATCTGGAGAATTGTAGAGAATTCAAAGATGAATGAAGAGATCAGGGGGAAAAATCTATAAGTAATATACCTGGAAGTTTTGAAGGAGAGGATTTAGGTAAAACCTAGTGACACTGAAGAGCCTATTATTTTCTGATCCACAGAGATAAAGAGTATTTACAATAAATAAACATGAAAAATGGTGAGTGCAGTTAAAGTCAGGCTAGGGTACTGCCCTCTTGAAATCTGCTACAAGATCTGTATCTGCTTAGGTGTGGCGGAGGTCATCCAGAGAAGAGTGAGCTGGACCCAGCAACTGCAGGCCTCTCCCCATCCCCCTGCCCCCTTTCCCCCGGACTGTGGTTCTGCAGGCCTCCCTGCTCCCACTGGTTGCCCTGAGGAAATGGCCTTGTGATAGCACTGGCCAGCAAGAGTACAGCCATCTTGTCAAATCTGCTATGTTGACTGATGGATCCTCTACACCCCCATTTCCTTCCTATTCCTTAGACGGTATTCAGTTTGGAGCCACTACCAGTGTTCTGGGAAAGGGCTCCTCATGCTAATTCCACTGATGATACACAGATGTCACCCCTGCCCCACGGCACACACATGTGGTCATCCTGCACATAGACCCTTTTTCCTGGTCTCTGTAAATCAGTCCCCTAAACGGTGTGATCTTTGCATCCTTTGGATGAAAGGGACAAGCTTCTGTGGGTAACATCCCCTCAAGAGACCTCTATGGAATCCAGCTGGACCTACCAGCCTTTCTATGGTCTCATAGTCCCTTCGGCCTCTAGGTGCTTATACCTCCCCCGAGCAGAATTCAGTGATGACACCATCAGAACTGAATATGTGACTGCACACAGGCAAGGCCTCTATATGAATTTTTAAGATTTGGTGGATGGGCACAGAGATCCACTGGTTATGTGGCTGCTAAGACAAGCGTCCTATGTAAGACCCCTTGCTTATTAGGCCTGCTACCCACCCATTTGGAGTGGCCACCTGTCTTTGATCTCTCTCTGCCCTCTGAGTACAGGGGACAGTTTCAGATTATACCCAGGAAGCTGCCAAGGAGCTTGCAAACCAATACTATGAAAGGCAGGATGGGACTCTGTCCACATTCAAAACTTGCAAGGTCTCTTCTGGATGACTGTGATTTTACAACCTAATGGCTGCTCCTACTGCTAATACCCTAACTGCTCATGACAATGACAGTAATTATTATACAGCTCCTTGCTACATACTAGGTATGGCAGATGCATTAACAACTCACTTCACCTTTGTGACAATGCTGCCAAGGAGGTATTGTTACCCCTACTTTATAATGGTTAGCAAGAGTAAGAAATTCATGGCCAAAGTTCATATGGTACAGTAAGGAATACATTTGCTCTTTGCCCTTGGTTCCTGGCAGAGCTTCACAAATTCTTAGAATTCCCTGAATGACAGAATTGTCTCTGCTACGCTAATGAAATGACTCCAACTTATCCCCAAGATAACTACAGGATGGGGCCATTTACTAGAAGACCCATCACATGATTAAATGGTTGGAACTTGGAGCTCTGGGTGGGGGAGTAGGGAGCTGGAGACTGAGGTCAATCACATGCACAATGATTCAATCAATCATGGCTACATATGAAACCTCAATAAAAGCTATGGACATCAAAGGTCACAGAAGCTTCCTGGCTGATGAAGACATTGAGGTGCCAGTAGGATGACTGACTCCATGGGGAGAGTTAATGGAAACTGCAATCCCTCCCAGACTGAGTCCTAGGTGTACTCTTTATGATAAACTGCAACTGTTAAGTTCAGGCGATTCCTGCATGCCATCAGCTGTTCTGGTGAATTATTGAACCCGAGGGGTACATGGGAATCCCCAAATTTGTAGCAGGCTGGTGAGAAGCATGGGTGTCCTGGAGACCATTATGGCTGGTATGTGAAGTGTGGACTTGGAGTGGCATCTTGTAAAGGACTGACCCTTTAACTTGCAGGATCTGACATGAATTCCAGGTGGTTAGCATCAGAACTGAAATACAGTCTACCCAAGTGGTGTTAGATCAGGTGGGGATGAAAGAGAACAGTTACTAAAACAGGATATGCTACAGCCAGGACTCAAACCCAGTTCTTTCTGATGTCAAACACAGTATCACAGTATCTTGTTAGTATCCAACTTAAAGTATAAACCATAACAACTTTGGTTTTCATTTTAGAATGAAATGGTATATAGCTCAGGAAGGTTTTAGTTTCCACAGCAACTTACAAGAAATAAAAAATCACATACACATGCTGATAATCCCCTGGAGCCACAGCAGTCCCCTGCCTCTGCCAGCAGAGTGGGGAACACAAACAGTGGTGCAGGAGCAGCTGGCCAGAGGGGCTGGTGTGAACAGCAGGGCAGGAGGCAGTGAAAGCCACAGCCAGCACGTCCACAGCCTGGAGCCTTTCTAAATCCCTCAGAGTGCTTTGCTTGTAAATATTAAGTAATAGTTAAGTGCAGGTATAGGGACATGGTTCCAGTATAAAACCTTAAAAACCTATTGCCAACCTTCAGAAACAGTGAAAAGAGTCTGGATCTTGTTTCCTATAAACTTGAAAGAAACCATAGGACATAAATTCTGATAATACTTTGTGGCCAAAATGTATGTTACAAGTGTTCTCTGCCAAAGAGAACTTTCTGAGCACCAACACAGGAAAAAAATCCCATGGGATCCAAGCAGTAAGACTATGTTTTTTACTGTAGCTTACATAAAAAGCTTCCTAAGGTTTTACTTCAACAAGATTTCCCAACTGCCATCTCCCTTTGCAAGGATGTATTAAATTACATTGTTTTGAAAGCTGAAGCATTTTAGACCCATCTGTCTTACATCCACCTTCTCACCTGGCCTGTTGGTGGCTGCCATAATGAAAACCAGCTGGCGCATTTCCAGACCGTCCATCTCTGTGAGTAGCTGATTCACCACCCGGACACTGGCCCCTGTCTAAAAAGAGAGATTAACAGCTCCATCAGCTTCCAGTGAAAATACATTACCCATTTTTTTCCTACATAAAGTAATACACTTGATAACCTGATGACAGCTTTTGTCAATAGATAACAATGATTGCTTTCTGAGGAGTTAACCATGTCCAGACGCTGTGCAAAGTGTGCTACCATCAGCAATTTTATGGTTACCCCCAGTTTAGATAAGGAAACTGATGCTGACAACTTATCTATCCCAGGTCTCCCAGCAGACAAGTGCAGAGACAGATCCATCTCAGGCTTCATTCATCCCAAAGTCTTCTGCCTCACTTTCTCCAAAGACTGAATAACACAGTGAGTTTTTCTTTGGGCAAATCCAGACCCAGCTTTTGAATGTCTGGTCAGATCCCCAGGTATCTGATATCCTAGACCTTTCAGCTGGGACACTGAGGCTTTTTCTCTTCCTTGAAGCACATAGTATGATGTGGAGCTACTTCAGGGCAGCATTTTAAGAGAAAGGCTCAGGGAGTTAGTGAAGACAGGATAAATCACTTACAGAAAAATTTTAAATGCACAATGAAGGAAATGAGAAGAGAGAAGCTGTATTTCTGTCACTCAGTGCCTTTTCTCAACATGAATTTTATGTACAAAAGTGGCAGTGAGTTTAACACACTGATTTCTCCAGAAAAAAAGATTTGATGCACCTAATTATCACTACTGGAGACCTAATACTAATAGGAGATTGACCAAAATATAATCCAGACTATACTGTCTTACCTAAGCAAGATAAAAACCTCAGAATCAATACAGGAAAGGGTTGACAGATTTTACTATATTAAAATTATAATACATATAATTTTAAAAATTAGAGTGATAATAAGACTGTAGAAAATAGTAAAATGCACAATTGGACAATGACCTAATTTCCATCACACATAAAAGTTCCCCTTAATTAATTAAAAAAAAATTTCAATAGCAAAAGAAACCAAGTATATGATCAAGCAATTTATAGAAGATGAAATACAAATTCAGTGAAGATGATCAACTTCGCTGATAACAAGGGATAGGAATACTAACATTTAACATAATGTTTTGCCAAAAAAATTGACAAAAATTAAAAGATGGATATTATCTACTGATGACAAGGGTACAGGAAATGATTTACACACTGTTAGTGAATGTATGTAACTGGTAGTTTTGTGAAGGATGACTGAGTATTAGCTTTCAAAATACAGTATGTATACATCTGCTACCCTAAATTCCACTTTTAAAACTCTCACATGCTGTCTCACATGTGCACAAAACATGTGATAAGAACATTTACTACATTTGTTTGTAAAAGAAACAAGTGGAAACAATGTAAATGTCCAAAACAAGGAAATTATTAAATAAATTCTTCTGCTTCCAGACTATGCAATATTTATCCAATGGTTAAAAAACAAAGTGATAAAGTACATGGGATATCATCAAGTGAGAAAGATCAAATTTACATTACGAAAATTCTAAATCACATCTTTTTAAGTTTATGGGACAAGTTCTAGGATGACAAATACTAGACACTAAATTATTAGCATAGTAACCTCCAAGGACAGTGACAGGAGTAGGAATAAAACTTTCACTCCTCATACTTGTATTTATTTGAATTACTCACCAAGTATGTAAGGATATATAACATATATTAAAAAAAACTCAATTTTAAAGTATTTTTAGAATCCCACTCAGGTGAAAATGATAAAAAGCAAGACATATATCAGAGATCAGAAACATGTGGTAATAGATATCTGAAGAGTACATTTCTAGAATAAATGTACTTCATGAGACTGCAGACTTCTCTTCAGACAACAGCTGATGGATACACCTCAATGAACCCTTACAAATTTATCTTCCCAGCTAATCAGAACTCTAAACCAAAAAAACAGGTTGTTGACAAAGGAAGGGTTTACTCATAGCAAAAGGAAAGGGGATACGAAGAGTAAAATCCAGTGCATACACGCCCCAGCCAGCTGGCTTCATGTAGTGTTTTGCTCTGGATCCCACATTAGATTTCTTAATGTAGCAGCTGGCAGAAGAAGCTGGGTAAGATCTCTGCTTCAGCCATTGACATCACTATCAGAGCCAAGACAGTAATAAGGACTTTTGGATTGATAGTGATGATTACTGCATGAGGAAACAAAATTGCTATGATGTGAATCACACTTACATTAGTCAAGTTTTGTTTTTGCAACTTTTGAACGCACTGGAGATTTTAAGTGAAATGAGGCATTCAGTGAATGTTTGACAACCTAACAGTGCACACGAATAACTACTTGAAAATAAATCACAAAAGAAATGAAATCACTTCCTTAGTAATAAATATATTTATTAAATAGTACTGGCCACCTGCTTCAAAAGGTTAAATATTCTTTATGTTATGCTTTGCTTCAAACTCGTAGATAACAGTCTCCTGATAACCATTTCCAGGCTCTCGCTGTACTGAATTCCCTAAGAACCAGTGACTCAGTGTAGTAATGCAAGTGGTATTCAAAGTAGACCAATTTGTACACTGTGCAAAAGAGTCAAAGTATATGCTCAAGCATATGTGTTTAGTATTAAAGCTCACTCACTACCTGGCCCTGTTTTGGATGCGTGATATCGTAAATTACAGTTTCTCTCATCTCAAGAACTCATTTAACTGAAGAGAATCCTAAGATTACAAGGCAGGCTATTCACAACTAATATCATTTCCATTCTCAACTTAGTCATTTGTGTGAATCAAACATCAACAAAGATAATATACAGAATAAAAAAAAGATGGTACAGAGGCTAATAAAAGCACAACCGTCATCCCTAGGCCCTGATTTCAAATTGCTAGGTTTCTTAAAGAGTCTCAATGCTGTCAAGTAATGACTTTATGAAAATAATTTGAATTTCATATAATTTTGTAGAACTTACAAAAGCTTTATAGTACTTACAGAAATCTGGAAATCACTAACCTAGGATACGTACCTCACGGTCTGATCTCCGAGGGCATAATGCATCTACTTCATCAAAGAATATCACACAGGGCGTTGAGTTCTTGGCTCGCTGGAAAACCTGCCGCACAGCACGTTCACTCTCACCAACATACTGAGCATACACAGAAAGGAGGTAAAATGTAGAAATAGGGCAACTTTGGGGCTTGGGCCCAATTATATTAAAACTAGTTCTAAATAACATTTATCCAAAAAGTATTAGGTTGCACCATATACAACTGCTGATATTTCAACATTTTCGACCTAGAAAAGCCAACTGCACAAGGTTCGAGACTAGAATGAGCTATTATTTGAGATTATAAACTTTCTCATTTAGAAAGTGAAGACTAAATGGAATATAAGGACTGTCTAAGTCAAAAAATCCCACAATATGAAAAAAATCCCAGGATTCAAGATGGCAGAGTGAGAGGTGAGACAGAGAACTCCTCTAAAAACCACAGATAGTGTGTGAAAATAAAGTTAATACAACTAACCGTAAAACAGCAAGAGGAAAGAAGGCTGTACCAGACTGCATACAGACCTCACAAACAGAGCAGACCTCACAAAACAGGGTAACATACGAAAGCCTTAATCTAGCACGACCCGAGCACTTCCCCAGCCCGAGCTCACCAGCAGGAGGAAGAGAAACGGAGAGGGGAGGGGGTGGAACCTGGGACTGCTGAACACCTAGCACTGGAGATCTGCTTTGCTAACAGAAACCTACACCGTGTGGAGCTCTGGAGGATGGGGAGCTGGGACAGGTGGAGTGCTTGAGAGACAGATTTCGGCCGTTTGTGGAGGACGGGATCCACACCTGGCCGCTCTGGGACAAGGGAAAGGCAGTCTGACAGGCTTCCTAGCAGGGAGGGGGCTGCTGAAGAGGCAGGGTTTGCACAGAGCTTGCTCTGTCGGAGAAGGGACAGGGGGACAAGGTTCTCTGGGCATGCTCTGCCCAGCAGGTTGGGAACTTTGAGGAGCTTCAGGTGCTCTGGCACTCCATCCCCCTGGCTGCCTACTAAGCTCCAAGGCCCCCCACTGTGACTCGCAGCCTACTGCACCTTCCTCCTGGCCTGACAGCACCAGCTCATAAACAGGCAGTCACTGCACTGGCATCAGGCCAGTCAGAGGGAGGCCCCACCTACAATGCCTAGAGATGCCAAGCACACAGGCTTACACCTGTGTGCTCCGCCAACTGGCTCTGATACAGGAGACAGGCACAGCAGACAGGAATCAGGAAACAGACCTCTCCTCCCCTCAGGCACCAGTTCTGCTCCTGCACAACCCCCAACCTCACTCTAGGAGCTGAGCTTTCTGGAGCTCCTGGGCACTAGAGGGCATAATACAGAAATACGAAATGTCAAAAAAACATGGTTCAGACCAAAATCTCACAAATTCCAGAAAAACGGTCAAATGAAACTGACAACTCACCAATCTTTCTGAAAGAGTTCAAAATAAAAATCATAAACATGCTTATGGAGGTACAGAAAAATATTCAAGAACTCAGGAACAAATTTAAGATGGAGATTCAATCATTTAAGAAATTTCATATCCAAAATGAAATATACAATGGAGTAATTTAAAAGCAGAATAGATGTAGTAGAAGAGATGGTAAGTGGAAGAGAAATTAGAGAAGAGGAATACAAAGAAGCTGAGACATAGACAGAAAAAAGAATCTCTAAGAATGAAAGAATATTGAGAGAACTGTGCGACCAATCCTAATGGAACAATATTTGCATAATAGGGATACCAGAAGAAGAGAGAGAAAAAGGGATAGAAAGTGTCACTGAGGAGGTAATTCCTGAAAACTTCCCTGATCTGGGGAAAGAGACAGTCTCTCAAGCCATGGAGATGCACAGATCTCCCAACACAAGGGACCCAAGGAAGACAACATCAAGACATATAATAATTAAAATGGGAAAGATCAAGGATAAAGACAGACTTTTAAAAGCAGATAGAGAGAGAAAAAAGATCACACACAAAGGAAACCCCATCAGGCTACCATCAGATTTCTCAACAGAAACCTTACAGGCCAGAAGGGAGTGGCATGATATATTTAATACAATGAAGCAAAAGGGCTCTGAACCAAGAATACTCTACTTGGCAAGGTTATCATTTAAATTTCAAGGAGGGATTAAACAATTTTCAGATAAGCAAAAGCTGAGAGAATTTACCTCCTACAGAACACCTCTACAGTGCATTTTGGAGGGACTCATATAGATGGAAGAATTCCTAAGGCTAAACAGATGTCACCAAAGGGACAGACAAAGAGTACAGAATGTGATTCATACCATACAAAGAATGGAGGAGGAAGAAAAAATATTTAGGTTGTGTTTGTAATAGCATATGAAGTGAGTTAAATTAGACTGTTAGATAGTAAGGGAATTACCTTTGAACCTTTGGTAACCACAAATCTAAAGCCTGCAATGGCAGTAAGTACATACCTATCGATAATCACCCTAAATGTAAATGGTCTGAATGCACCAATCAAAAGACAGAGTCACTGAATGGATAAAAAAACAAGACCGATCTACATGCTGCCTACAAGAGACTCACTTCAAACCCAAAGACATACACAGACTGAAAGTAAAGAGCTGGAAAAAGATATTTCATGCAACTAATAGGGAGAAAAAGCAGGAGTTCCAGTACATGTATCAGACAAAATAGACTTCAAAACAAAGAAAGTAACAAGAGAGACAAAGAAGGACATTACATAATGATAAAGGGATCAGTCCAAGAAGAGGACATAACTATTATAAATATCTATGCACCCAACACAGGATCACCTACATATGTGAGACAAATACTAACAGAATTAAAGGGGGAAATAGAATGCAATGCATTGATTTTAGGAGACTTCAACACACTACTCACTCCAAAGGACAGACTAACCAGACAGAAAATAAATAAAGAGACAGTGACACTGAACAACACATTGGAACAGATGGACCTAACATACATCTACAGAACACACCATCCAAAAGCAACAGGATACACGTTCTTTTTAAGTGCACACGAACACTTTCAAGAATACATCGTATACTAGGCCACAAAAAGAACCTCAGTGAATTCAAAAAGATTGAAACTATACCAAGCAGCTTCTCAGATCACAAAAGTATGAAAGTAGAAATAAATTATGCAAAGGAAACAAAAAAGCCTACAAACACATGGAGGCTTAATAACATGCTCCTAAATAATCAATGGATCAATGACCAAATAAAAACAGAGATCAAGCAATATATGGAGACAAATGACAGCAATACTTCAACACCGCAAAAATCTGTGGGATGCAGCGAAGGCCGTGCTAAGAGGGAAATAGACTGCAACACATGCTTACTTCAGGAAAGAACAATTTCAAATGAAGTCTAAACTCACAATTAATGAAACTAGAAACGGAAGAACAAATGAGGCCCAAAGTCAGAAGGAGGGATATAATAAAGATTAAAGCAGAAATAAATAAAATTGAGAAGAAAAATAAAACAACAGAAAGAACCAACGAAAGCAGGAGCTGGTTCTTCGAGAAAATAAACAAAATAGATAAACACCTAGCCAGACTTATCAAGAAGAAAAGAGAGCCTACACACATAAACAGAATCAGAAATGAGAAAGGAACAATCACTATGGACACCAGAGAAATACAAAGAATTATGAGAGAATACTATGAAAAATTATATGCTAACAAACTGGATAACCTAGTTATAGGTTGTTTTAGAAATAGACAACTTTCTAGAAAAATATAACCTCCCAAGGCTGACCCAGGAAGAAACAGAAAATCTGAATAGACCCATTACCAACAAAGAAATTGAATTGGTAATAATAAAAAAAAAATCTAGGAACAAAACCGCTGGATCAGATGGTTTTACTGCTGAACTTTATCAAACATTTAGTGTAGACCTAATACCCATCCTCCTTAAAGTTTTCCACAAAGTAGAAGAGGGGGGAATACTCCAAAACTCACTCTATGAGGCCAACATCACTCTAATACCAAAATCAGGCAAAGACACCACAAAAAAAGAAAATTACAGACCAATATCCCTGATGAACAAGATGCAAAATACTCAACAAAATATTAGCAAACTGAATTCAAAAAATACATCAAAGACATCATCCATGATGATCAAGTGGGATTCATCCCAGGGATGCAAGGATGGTACAACATTTGAAAATCCATCAACATCATCCACTACATCAACAAAAAGGACAAAAACCACACGATTATCTCCATAGATGCTGAAAAAGCATTTGACAAAATTCAACATCCATTCGTGCTAAAAAGTCTCAACAAAATGGGTATACAGGGCAAGTACCTCAACATAATAAAGGCCATATATGACAAACCCACAGCCAACATTATACTTAACAGTGAGAAACTGGAAGCTTTTACTTTAAGATTGGGAACAAGACAAGGATGCCCAATCTCTACACTTTCTTTCAACATAGTTTTGGAGGTCCTAGCCACGGCTATCCGACAATAGAATGAAATAAAAGGCACCAGATTGGTAAGGAAGAAGTCAAACTGTCCCTGTTTGCAGATCACATGATACGGTACATAACAAATCCTAAAGAATCCACTCCAAAACTACTAGATCTAATATCCAAATTCAGTAAAGTTGCAGGATACAAAATTAATACACAGAAATCTGTTGCTTTCCTATACACTAACAATGAACTAGCAGAAAGAGAAATCAGGGAAACAATTCCATTCACAATTGCATCAAAAAGAATAAAATACCTAGGAATAAACATAACAAAGAAAGTGAAAGACATACTCTGAAAACTACAAGACACATGATAGATAGTAAAGAAACCAATAAATGGAAACTCATTCTGTGCTCATGGGTAGGAGGAATTAATATTGTCAAAATGGCCATTCTGCCTAAAGCAATCTACAGATTCAATGCAATCGCTATCAAAATACCAACAGCATTCTTCAGTGAACTAGAGCAAATAGTTCTAAAATTCATATGCAACAACAAAAGACCCCGAATAGCCTAAGCAATCCTGAGAAGGAAGAATAAAGCAGGGCAACTATGCTCCCTGACTTCAAGCTCTACTACAAAGCCACAGTAATCAAGACAATTTGGTACTGGCACAAGAACAGACTCACAGATCAAAGGA